GTTGAATTGCAGGTGCTTTTAACATAAAGCTAGATATAGGCTACTTCCTCCTATAGTTATCTAAATGGATCGTTATTTACAAGATAGCACTCGAAAATAAATTAATCAGCATTCTTGGGATCATTTGACTGTAAATAATATTTTGTGGTAGAATTTGGAGCTTTTACTAGAGGCCCGATATCACTTTCATTTTTTTAAAACAAGTGTAATTTCCCTTCTGGTACAGGACATCAGTTTACATCTTTAGAAGTATAGAACTCTAATAGATCAAGAACTAAGGTATCTGCACCTATCTTGTAAAAAAAGAACTTCGATACATATTACCATTGATAGCAATTCTTTAAATCTACATAAACAGTAAACTATAACTTCTATGAATCTGGATATTCAACATTAACCACTAGCGGCTCTTTAACAAATCCAGTCATTTGTTATGAAGACAATACAATTGCAGTATTATTAAATATAGAGAATGGGCTAATACCGAAATATCCTCCTTTTGAAAAGTTTCTTCTTTTGTCTTCGCATATATCATCTCCTGAAATGTATTAGTTTAAATCTAACTTAAATGGTCCCTACTAGACATAATGAGTTACTGTTGGCTATGTGGCAATAATACTAACTTTAGGAACACAAAATTTTCCATATGGCACGTAATATGTCTCTATATTCATATCGACCATTTTAAGAGTTCCATTTAAGATGAATTTAAGATTTCCTTGTGTCAAGTTATTTGTGAAACTTGCATACTAATATAGAGTTGAGAATTACTTGAATTCAGTAGTTACTTCGTCGGCTGTATTATTTTCAGCACATGATCTTTAGTAATCATTTGAATTGAGAAGTTAAGTGTAATATTTATTTAACAAGATTAGCTTATAGTTGTATGCTGAGGCCAAGTATATTGCTTTGTAATTATCAAGAAATAAAGCATCAGTTAAGGTAAAAGTATGCATAAATATAATCTTTGTTTTGGTTATTGTTGCACCGTTTGATTTGATGTCACTTATTCTAAAAATATAAAGAGGATCTCCAATATCATTTGGAAGTGATGAAATGACAATAACATAAAATTCTGTTGGCGAAACTATCTTAAAATCTCTTCCTCTTAGATATTCAGGGTATTCAAAAGATCTCATTTCCTTAGTTTATGTAGTATCATCAGTAATAAGCAAAGAAAATACAACTCTTGTTTCCCAAAAATCGAAGTTACCATAAATAGTGTTTGAACACACACCAATGTAATCCTTAGAGTCGATAGTCTTGACTTTAATATCTTATATTTATATATACTAATCTTAGACAGTAACCCTATTGTACTGAAAGCCATATGACCAATCTTATTGTCCATTTGATGAATTTACCCTTATCACACCGATTTTTGCAACGTTTGTGAATGCATCTTAATTATACTTTTGCACAAATCCAACATAAAGCTTCTAACTTGATTCATTCACAAAAATAGTAGTATACAGTTCTTATACAGTGTTACCTTCATATTTTTAAGACCATAATGCTTAAACAATACTCTAATTCTAAGATAAATCCACTACACCGAAGATAGAAGTTTTAATTGAATCTGCATACCCCACCATGTAAAATCAATTATTTTCTGAAAGCATGCCTCAATTTATATAATTCAATTAGTATAAATAAGATCCAGGTGCACTGTTCTCCTAAAGAGCCATTAATAAATTCCTATTATTTGCATCAATTACAAGAAGATACTGAAAACCTGGATCTCATTAAATCGCTGCCACCAATCTCTAAGCTTGCCCATCACTTTAAGCAAATTATATTGTTTAGACAGTCTTGCAATTATTATCTGGATAATATTTCAGCCATTTCTACCCTAATGATCCGTAGTATTGAAAGTAGACGGCATCGTCCCCTGAAAATTTATTATTTAATGTATAGAATTATCTAACTCCTCCAATTACCTAAATTTGAAACTAATAAAATAAAATTACTATATTTTGATTAGCATCCATGTCCATTGCATGAGGTTATGAGTAACCTGACCAGTCTGCCATTCCTATTGGTAATGTATAACCAAAACATTTCTCACTGGCATTAATA